GCCTGCGTGATGTGATGTACCAGCTAAGCCAGCAATAGAGAGGATGTAAACCAGACATCACTTAATGAGAGATTGTTGATGGCCTAGATTCAGCACCTTTCGAAAAACGTGTTATAATGCTGTTCTGTTCTATGAGGGGTTTTTTTCTCTGCAATTCTCTCCTCCTGCTTCCTTTATTCCTGTTAAATGTGCAGCATGCTGAAGTTTGCACACACGTACCAGACCCCCCCCCACGCTCATACTGTGAAATATTAATAACCAGCCAGGAAAGGTTGGCTTCAGAGTTCTGAGTGCTTTGTGGTAACACTAGAGCTGGAGTGCATTCCCAAGTGTCCTCCCCACCAGAGCCCCATTTATTTCAAGAGATTATCATGCTGTACAGTTGGCTCCTCACAGAGAATCATAAACCCATTCCGAGAATTAAGATGTCACTTGTGGCCACGGAACCAGGCATGTGGAAGGGAGGAAGAGTTGGAGTGATGAGTGGTGTCTTTGCCTTTCTGGTAGAGGACTTAGCTGTGATTTGTCTTCTGTCCCTCAGCAAAAGTAATTCTCCTAGTCTGCACAGCCCTGCACAGAGAGATAGCTGTGGCAGTGAACGATCGCATTGGTCTTTAAGATGGAAGAACGTTTGCTCCAATTCCTTAGCAATTAGCACTGGCCTCACGTTCCTGTCTATAGCTGGCCTGTTGTTTCACTGACTATGCATTGGCCCTGATGGGGCCCAGTAAGACAGCCAGTTCTTGATGGGAAGAGACATTCTAGGGTAGGGGAAATACTTGCAGTACCTCCAAGAAGCCTGCCTGAGGACAATGCTTTCTTCGTCATTCAGCTTCCTGGATGCTGACGTCTTTATCAACAGCTTCACCCTTGTGTAGGATTTGGTTTGCTTCAAGGTTATTCCTTGATGTTAATGGAACTCATTAAGTTGCTGAGAATAACCTTAACCTTCTGATCATCCTGCCTCAACTTCCCTAGTGCTGGGATGAATTACAGGCATGCATCACCACTCCCAGTTTATATGGTCTTGGGAATTGAGTGAGCCCAGGGCAAACGAGGCAGGGTCTTCTGTAGCCAAGGATAATCGTGGTCTCTTGATCTTCCTGTCTCCTGCCAAGTGCTAAGATTACATGTATGTACCGCCATGTCCAACCCACAGGAAAGTACTCTTTAGAGAAGAGTTGCAGGCCAGCTTTTCAGAGCAATTTTGTATAGTGACACCACAAAGATCTGGTGGAAGGCTGGGAACCTGATGGACCTGAGTTCATTCTCCAGAACCCACATAGTAAAAGGAGAGAAACAACTCCCGAAAGATGTCCTTTGCCTTCCACATGCATGTTGTGAAACACACGTACAGTAAATACATGTTTGCTCATTGGAAAGATTGGGCCTAAACCAGAAGAGGGCAGAATTAAGATGTGTTTATATCCTTTGATTCTCTCTAAGGAATGTCCAGCCTTTCTTGGGAGTCAGTCTAAACTCTGATGCTCTAGATTTGAGGTATAGATAGTAACTGCTTTGAAATGAAGTTACCGGAGCACACTTGTTGCATCGTTTCTTTCTCAATTTCAAGGTGAATTGAGGAGGCAGAAACACTCCTTAAAGAGATGCCATCCACAGGACAGAAAAAGGCTTGTGCATTGCTTGTTGTGAAGCACAGGTAGCATGAAAGCTACCATTGCCACAAAAAGGAAAGACTTCTGCTCAGAAATAGAGTTGCTGTTTATTATTTACACCAATGGAAGAGAATATTGGTATAGATAACAGAGAACCATACCTAATTTATCTGCTTGGATTCTCAAAGCCTTGAACCACTATAGAAGCAGAGAACTGTAGCAGTAAGTTCCCAGCCCTTTTATAAGGAAGCTATCGTACAGAACACCCAAAGATGGGAACCTAGCCATCTAAGCAGAAGTATTTGATATTGCCTTGAAATGAGTATTCTGTGCTGTACATCTCAGTTTTATCCTGAGATCTTTAATGTCTGGTTTTTAAGAACAAATTCAGGATCATGTTTTTCTTGAGAAATCTTTGATATTACCGAATATGAGTGAGTTGTGCTTCTGTGTGATTGGGAAAGGACTAAAACTATCATGTTAGTGACATCTCTGAACTTTACAACTGTATTAGCCTTAAGCTCTGTTGGTACTTTCAACTTCACAGTAGAGAAACTGGTCTGTGTTATATTTTGTTTCTTATAATCCATTTTTTTTTTAATCTTGTTTACCTTTTAGTTAACTTTCTTCTTTTTTGGTTTTTTGGGACAGGCTTTCTCTGTCCTGGAGCCTGTCCTGGAACTACCTCTTGTAGACCAGACTGGTCTTGAACTCACAGAGATCCACCTGCCTCTGCCTCCCGAGTGCTGGGATTAAAGGCATGCACCACTACTGCCCGACTTAGTTAACTTTTTTAAATGACCATGAAACTCAAAACACTTTTCCATGCTTGTGTAAGTTCTTTGAAAAGCAACTGACCTTAACCACATTTAGTCCAATTTGTTGTAATATACTTTGAATTTCTAAAATAATTTCTACATCTAAATTATCAGAGGGATAATTTTCTCAGCTACATCACCTGAGAAAAGTTACCAATATTCTTTAATATTCTTTTCATCTGAGCAACTGAAGTAAATGGTCTCTAGAATTTTCATATTGAAAAACAACATGTTAAGCAGAGCATTGCTTGCCACAACAAGAAAAGACAAACACCACCCTATGCCCGTGACTGAGATTCGAAAGGGCTGACATCTCTTGGTTATTACAGTCAGTTTAATTGATTTCATAACATGCTTTCATCCTTAAAATGTTGTCAACTTTGAAGAAGTCTCCATTCTTCCTCCTATTGGGTATCCCATGCCAATTCATCTCCTCTCTAAGCCTTTTTATCCTTGCCTCAAGTACACGGCCACTTATTTTATAATTTGGTATCTGGAAGTACACACAGTAAGCTTTTAAAGTTTCATGCCTTCAGTTTTCATTGTTGACTTTCACTTCTAATCTGCGCCGTAGTCCATGGCTTGCCTTTCTCTCTGTCATCTTTCCATATGTCATTTCTGGAGTCAGTCTGTTAGACATTAGTGGAGTCAAGGCCATTACATAGTGAGCAGTCAGGTCGCTTGAATCTCCTTGATTGTTCTGAATAAGCATCCTCCTGATAAATAAAGCAGGGAATGTTTTACCCTGGTCCTTGGCCAGCTTAGCAAAAGGGAGAGAACACTTCATTGTTAGTATTAACATTAAAGGTGGGTGTGGGTGTGTGTGGGGGGGTCCTGTGAGCTTCCCCTCTCCCCAGGTATAATTGAAAGACACTGATGAGCAAAAGTCTATTTCTGGAAAATGTAGATAACTCCAGGTTTGGAGGAAGACTTCTTTTCCAGTGATGCTGGGTTGCTTCATGATTCGCAATAATCAATTTGGTAATTGTTGTTGACTTACTGGCTCAGCTCATGAATAATGCCCCAGATTTAGACTAGTATGGCAAAAGGATTTGAATCAGGTAGTGCTTTTGTCCTTTGGAACATTTGTCTTGCTTGACTGTTCTGGACTTCAGCCAACTGCCAGAAAGGCATTTTTCCCACTGTACGTGTATAGTAGAATGTGTGTCACTTAAGTGTTCACTAGGGGAGTTTCCAGCCCACTACAGCTCATTGTTAACTTACCTTTTACCATTGTGCTGTTGGGAAGACTGAGAATGGATGACTGTCTCTCCTTTTCTCTAAGAATCAGTTGGTAGGAAGGATGGCTCTCATTACTATAAATATTATTTTCACCACAGCCTACCTCGCTGATTCTGAATGAGAGGAGCACCTCTGGCTGCTGCGGAAGCTCTAATACTTGATAGCTTGTTAAATTTTCATTGTTGTATGTACATTAATTTAGATACAATAGCTCTGTTGCTAGGAGAAGCATCAGAAAGGAAGAGCTTTGGCTGAGTGTGGAGTGCCTGTGTGGCAGAAGTCAGGAAAGTCTGCAGAACTCGCTGTCCTTGGAGGGAGTTTGGAGTTCTGCTGGCTGGGCTGAAACCCTCAGAAATTCTCAAATCCAGAGACAATTCCCCCAGCATATGCGATGTGATATTTTGATGCTTGCTTACTCTGTCATCTGTTTAATTAGCTTGAGAGACTGAAAGGATTTGAAAGCCCTTAGCGCCTGTGTGGTCAAGAGCTCTGAGACTCAAAATGTTCATGCTTGGTACTCTTGAGAGCAGAATGCATGGACTTGTGTTGATGAATTAAGCCTATTTGAAAAATACTAGATGGTTCTCTGTGGGTTTTTTTTTTTTTTTTTTTTTTTAATTTCTATATTTTTTTGTGCTGACGTGATGTGTTCTTTGTCTTCGTGGAACACATCCTACTATTATCTATTTCCCTGGGTGTGAGAGTAACACACACACACACACACACACACCTCTTCAAAATGCATATGAAGCAAGGTTCATTGGACTTATGTCCAGAGAAGGCCAGGTTTTGGACAAGGTTAAGAAACCAGAGAGAGCTTGGAGTCTTATACAACCTGTTTACACTTGAAAACAGGCCAATCATTTTGGTTTCCTGAGCAAAAATTGTAGGTGCCATGTGGCATGGCCTGAATGGCACTTTTTTTGGTTTGTTTGTTTTTTAAGAAAATTAAAGGTTCAGTTAGTCACCATAGAAGAATAATATTAGTTTTCAGGAGTGGGCTCAGTTTCCAAGCACTCACTATATATACATACATACATACATACACACACACACACACACACACACACACACACACACACACGCATGCAGTGAGTGCTCAGTCACTGTACCGAAAGAAGAGTCAAGGAGAGTGTTATGGGAATTGTTGTTTGACAGTATTTCTTCTAAAAAGGTCACACGCGTAGCACATCTGTGTCATATCTTCAAAATTTACAGATTCTTATGTGATTATTTGCTCAGTTTTCTACCCCAAACCAAAGGCAAAGGACATCTATTTGTGTCCACTTCTCTCCAGTGATTATCTCCCTCTTTTCTCCATCAGGACACCCAGAAAGCAAAGCAGTTCCTGCCCTTCCTTCAGCGGGCAGGCCGTTCTGAGGCCGTGGTGGAATATGTCTTCAGTGGCTCTCGCCTCAAGCTCTATTTGCCTAAGGAGACTTGCCTCATCACCTTCCTGCTGGCAGGTGAGTCCATGCTCCAAGTGACTCCAAATGTCCTTCCTGGAAGTTGGCCCTTCCCTGTAGCCTCCAGCCCTCTTGTTCTTCCTCCATGCCACCAAGGTCAGGCCTTCGGAGACGAAACCTCATCTTACTTAGATGGACGGAGGGAACGGGAAATGAATAGTGGAACTCTCATTGTTGGCATTAGCCATTTAAGGTCATCTGCTCCTGACACATCAGAAGTAGGCAGGCCCCGGGAGCTGCCCCCATCCCTGGAGTTCCAACTCGCTTCTTCTTTTTCTTTTATTCAGATGTCATCAGGACCCCAGTCCCTTAGGAAAACCTTTCACAGGCTCTTCTGTCTGCAGTATTTCTTGTTGACTGAGGGTGACATGCTGGGCAAGCCTTCCTCCTTTCCTTGCCGTCTTATCATTCGCCCCTCATAGCCTGCCTTGCTGGGTTGCTTAATGTTTTCTCAGCCAGTGAGACTGTGCAAAGTGCTCTTTGAACAACTTACATTTATGTATTCAGGGAATAAGCGGCTTCATTTCTTCGCTGCAGGCAAATGATAAAGATATTTATTTCTAGTCAGCCCTCGCGGGAACTGGGCTTTGGAGGAAGGCTGTCATTTCACCTTCCCACCCCTCACATTCACCCACTCACAAAGGACACTCCCCAGGTGCAGGTCGCCTTTTCTGTTACTGTCCTGTTGCCTCAGCTTCTTCTGTTGAATTCTTGGATAGAATCTGCTTTGGATAGAAAGCCTTGCTTTCCCTTGGCCCCGTTTTCCTGGAAGGCACTGAGAACTTCTCATCTGTACAAGGGGCTCCCTCAGGCCCCAACTAAAAGGGTTGAGTTATGTGCAAGAAACAGCTCCCTGAACACCTGGCTGGGCAGCTCGCTGCTTCTCCTTGACTCTCCTTGACGAGGCACTTCACAAGCTCTTACCAGTTTGATGGTAGCTGCCCAGCTCCAGCTCCGTGGCTCTCCTGAAAGACTGGGGTTCAGGGGCAGTTGCGGAAAGAAGGTTTGAATCAAATCCACACCCGACAGGAGGGCCCAACTTGTGTTTCCACTGATGGCAGTCGTCATAAAGTAAAGCTAAAGGGCGGTGCAAGTCTGTTCCCATGGCCATTTGTGCCCCGTTCTTAAGATTTCTGTAGCTGGAAGGTTTCTTGGCTGTGAATTCTTGTCAATGGGATTTAAGGTATATATTCGGCTCATTGTCTGCTCTACCCGAAAAACAAAAGCAGCCTCTTGGAAATGTAGAATTTAGTCCAGGGTGAACGATAGAAAAGGTCTGATTGTCTCCCGGAAACCTGACCTCAGATTCTTAGGGGGGGCGGGGTGGGGGGACCAAACCACTGGCTTTTAAACTCAGCTCCTTAAATGGAGTCAATTCAAGATGTGTGCATGGTAGGAGAGTTCCTACAGGATGCTGCTTGTTAAAGCTTGCTTAGAAGGAAACCATGTTACTGCCTGACTGTGTCAGCCAATTTCTCTGTAGACTTGGCATTATCCTAATCATCATAGTTCCAACAACATTGCCTAAGTTAACTTTCAATCAGAAAATTTGATTACATAGCAGCAAATACATGCTAAAAATATAATCTCAAACATTTAGAAGGTAGACTTGATAGGAAACGGAGAATGTCTAAACTTCACTTTTAAGATGAGTGTAGCAGAGAAAATCAAGTGTCCTAGACTTGAGCCTCAGAGTAGATTTTGAAGGCTATAGTCAAAGTCAACACAGTGAGGAACTGGTTAGAGGAATGGGTAATTGGTTTGGCCTTGTATGTGTAATATTTATAGTTTCCATAGAAAGGTTCAAGCTCACCAGAGGGGCCTGGGCAAATGCTCAGGTCAGCGTGTGGCATACTTCAGGTTCTTTGTGTGCCTCCAAAGCAGCATTAGGAGTGGTTTATTCCACTCTATATGCAAAGTAAACATCCCAGGAACTGTAAGGTAGGCTAAGGATTCTTATGCAGGCAGAGAGGACACAGCCCGGGAATAGCAGAAGAGCACTAAGCATAGTCCTCACCAGCTTAGAGGACAGAGAATTCTAGGGAGCCAGCACTGTCAGACTTCACAGAAAAGAGCAGTTGTACAAAACTGAAGTGGTTTGTACTGTTTATCAGTCTAGAGTCACATATATTTTCATCAGCCTTTCAACCAAAGGCAGATTCCAGATGATTGGAAAATACCCGTGGTTGCTGGCTAGGACCAAACTTACCAGATAGAGTTTGCTCAACTCAAAAATCTAATAGAAATAAATGGAAAATGGTGCATAAAAATGAAAGCTGGTCAGGTAACGTGGGGAGGGGATATCAGCATCTTGAATACTTCTAAAATTGATGCATGCTTTTGATTCATGAAGGTGGTATGTTACAGTTCGAAAGCTATGGGGTATAGCTATTGTTTTTCATAGACCAGTTATAGAATGTTAGGTGAAACTCAATAAAATCTTCATATAAAAAAGATGGAGTTGCCAGACCTGGTGGTAAAATAATAATCACAGTATTAAGTAAATGGAGGCAGTATGATCAAGAGTTGGAGGCCAACCTGGAAAAGGTTGTGTGGGGATGGGGAGGGTGGAGAAAATCCTAGGGAATGTTCAGTTGAAAATGGAACCCAATTGTTGAGAATTCCCAGAGATGAAGGAGACTGTGGAGGGATAAGGAAGGGCACGGTGACCTGGAGATGTGAGTTAGCTGGAACATGAGTGGAGAGTCTGCTGAAAGAGAGACCATGTGTGACACAGTAAAGGTGAATGAGTATAAGCATAGGCCTGGAGGCCTGGGTTGTGACTGTTTAACTCAAAGATAGGTGTCGCACGCACTCCACACCACACAAAATGACACTGCAAATGTGGCCTCTGTTTGCAACTAGGAAAGACTTTGCATTGCAGCTCTCAAGGGGAAAGCCAAGACCTTTGTTGAGATCAGTTCCCTCCTTGCAGCCCTCATTAATCCCAGCCTTTTGCAGAGCCCTCTGTGCTTGAAGGTGGGGTGGACACTTTCCATTTTTATGTGGCCTTTTTTGGGCAGACGGCCCCACAGCTTGATAGGGAGTGGCATTTGGCCTGAGCCAGCTGGTCTCTCTGTCACGGTTCCTGCACCCCTGTCCGTGAAGCGCTTGTTCAGTCAGATGGGATAGCAGGTGGGCCTGGGAGTCAGCTGCAGCTAACAGGTCAGCGCCTCCTGACCGTTAGTCCTTTCAGCACCTGGCTTAGGTTTGGTCAGCGAGCAGGTGACCTTAGCCCATCAGGGCTGAGAGTCTTCACGGTCCCTGAGCCTGCTGCTGTGGCCTCCTCGGAGGCCAATCCCAGTCTGCTCCTGTCCCGAGTGAGTGTTAGTGGGAAGCTGAGAACTGAGGGAAGCAGAGGAACACGCCCACCCCATCACCCCACTCTGCCCAGCTTTTGTTTGTTTTAAGGCATCATCAGGTTTTCTTGAGTAGAATTTAGTAAGCTTCATGCATCCCTTCTATTAGAACAAAACTAGCTTACCCTTTACACTTGGATTTCAGGTTATGCTCATTCCCCGTGTGTGTTAAGCTTTGTGTGTGTGTGTGTGTGTGTCTTATATAAGGTAGATTATTGAAGCATATATGCATATATTTATAAATCATACGCCTCTTGATTCATATTGTGTGGACATGGAGTATATGTCCTTCTATTACCATGACCTTTGTATGAAATTTTCTTACTGTGAATCACCTGATGCCTTTGGGCCCATTCTGAGGGCACAGTTCAGGAAATTGTCCTCCTGACAAAGGATAGCAGGTATTAAGGTAGTGTCCAGTAAACAAAATGCTTTCTCCAGAATTAAAAGAGAAGACTAGTTTGAGGCTTCAGGGTGCAGTAATGGAAGGAGTCTTAATTAGGTATTTAGGATCTTTTACCAGCCTCTGTTGAGACTGGGACATGCCTCTTTGCATTTCCCACATTCTGGTGAGTTACAAGCCAAGGTGAGTGTGGTGAGGAGCCAGGGTAGATAGCACTCACCTTACATAGAACTCATGGGACAAACTGCCTAGAAGGCAGCAGCCACTTGGCAGGGGTTTTGTGTGTATCACAGCAGGTGACTTATAATTAACTGGTTACCTAGGCACATGAAACAGGACTAGAAAATGAGGCTTCCCTTGCCTACCCTTTGGCATCTATTTTACGTTTCCATCTCTCTTTCTGATTATAACTCCCCCCTGGTGGTGCATTCTGACTAGGGAGCCAAACAGGTTCTAGATGTCTGCGTTTTAACGGTGGTGGTGGGTTTGTCCATGGTGAATAAAAGGTGTGGCTATGTGTCTGTCCTTCCACCTTGAATGTCTTTGAATAGTGTTTCATTTCCTGCCTTCACTTTAAAATCTCTTCTCCAGTCTTTTGTAATTAGAATATCAACTGCTTGTTTCAATAGACCAAAAACTTGTAATGAGAGGAAGGGAGGGAAGGTAAACTGGAGTATCCTTCTCATCTCCGGGCCCCAGGAATGGTGGATCCCCATTGATTACCAGTGCCTAACCAAATTACACAATTAAAGCCAATGTATGTTTAAGTGAGAAATCCCATTCTGCTATCACAGAGGTGCTAATGAATCAGGCTGTTACTGTGGTTGTGTTTGCTGGGCTCCTATCCTTAATTAAGCAATTACAGGGTCTGCTGATACTTATGAATTCCTTTCAGATGCTTTAATTGAATTGCAACTTAATGGATATTTGTGAAGTGGGGTATTCTTTCTCTTGGGACTTCCCAGTTTGGATATCTCCCCTGCCTGTGTGTTTCCAGTTGGGACCCATCACCTGAAAGGACAGCTTGACAGTATATTTTCCTGAACCTTCTAGGTCCTTAAGTTTAAATGCAGAGTTAGAGTTAAGTTCATCTTAGATCATCCTAAAGATGATCTAAGCTAAAAATTAGTACAACAGGTTTGTTGTGACAAGGCCAAAAGTTTTTACAAGTTTATAATAAGGAAGATGCATAAATTAACAAAATAGTTTATGCTTTTGAATAACTTTTAATCTTGTAG